AAGGATTTGGTTCATCTATATAATATGAGGGGGCTTCCAAACATTTGTTGAAAAATGGAATTAAAAGAAAATGGAATGTTTCTACAAAGCTTTTGAAGCTCTCGCATTTGGAGCAGAAAAAGTGGCTTGAAATGTTATTCTTTAGCTCAAATCTGTTACCTAATCAGGTTCTTGCCTTTTTTTTCTCTCTTCAGGTTCTTGTCTTTTACTGAGAGAAATAATTGCTCTGGTCGTACGTAGAGGCAATGCTGGACATTTTTATTCTGGCCTCCAGAGGGGAAGACCCCTGTTACGACATAGGCTAGGGAGTCAGAGAACAAAAGACTTGTCTTGTTGTTTACATGTAAAGGTCCCTCAGTGTGTGAGGGATGCTGGGAATTTCAGTCCAAATTTCCACTGGGTGTTGTTGGGTGCAAGAGATTCCAGGGAGTGTAGGGTACAAGATGGCGCTAGTTCTGAGACTCTGAGGCAGTATCTGTGCAAAATAACCGAAACGTCTCGTTCGGAAAGAAGACCTGACTCTGGGAGCTTCTCTGAGCATGAGTCCCAGACGGGCCTCTGTGTGTGGTGTGGCTGTCTCCAGGTCACGGTGGCTTGTCCAAGGCCTCATTTGGAGAAGTTTTGACTGGGAACTTCCTTTGGGATGCACAGAGTGCTTATATTTTGATGTTTTTCCATCTCACTTGTTTTCTATAGTTTGTGGGAATTCTGGATTTTTAAGTAGGGTGTCTAAAATCATTGGGGACCAGGACTAGTGGAAAATAGGAAAAAACTGTGCTTTCATATAGATTCTAGGCCAAAGCCATAGATTGGTACCCAGTTCTTCTTTGATTCATCATTAATTTTAATTTTAAAAATGATTTAAATTATTAGCAAATCAACAGTACCACAAATGCTTAGAAATTTGAGGATAGAGCTTGGTTTTCAGGATCAAGAAACTAACCAGGCTTATTAAATTTGTGTACTATCTTGCATGTAGGTTCATCCTATAATAAAAAAAGCACCTTGTAGAATGTTAACCTCACAATGGAATTTAAATAGTTGTTTCCAATTTTGAAGTGCTAAATAAGTTATTTGCCTCTTAAGAAAGTAATGGTAAAGGAGCAAAAAGTATTATGCAGCATTAGTTCAATAAATGAAACATAATACATCAAGTAATGAAGCCAAGTGCATTAAAAATTTTTTTTAAACCAAACTCACTGCCATCAATTCAGTGCTGACTCAATAGCAACACTCCCTACCCCGTTGGTCTCCGAGACTGTAACTGCTTATTCATAGTAGAAAGCCAAGTCTTTCTCTCGAGGAGCTGCTGGTGGTTTTGAACTACCAACCCTGAGGATTGCAGCCCAATGCATAACCTTCAGGGCTCCCTTCAAATAACGTAGGTAAATAAAAAATTACAGGTATACAAGTTTTTCTGCAGGGGACTCAGCGGTGATCTGTTGTTACAGGGAAAATGCTGTCTGCATAAGACCCATATTGTTGCAAGTACCCCTGTCATGCCTTTTAAAATTTATCCATGTTATTTTTAGAAGGTAGTCAGAGTGTAGAATCAATTCAGTAAAATTTTGTAAATAGTATATTGCTTGCACCTTAAAAAAAACCACATTCTTGCATCTTTAGGTTGATTTAAATACTGTTTTACTTAATGCTTGTCAAAAGTAGACAGAGGGTAAATTTACTCAACTTTAAGTCATTTCTTATCTAAGACCTTTACTTAATTATTTACTAAATTTGTTGTTTTATTTGAAAAGTTACAGTTATGCTGGGTTTCAGAGGAACTTTGATTTCTGTTTTGTTGTTGCTAAGCACCTGATTACCATCCTCAGTTGTGTTTTATTTTAAAATGTGTTCGGTCATCTTAAGGGTGAATAAAGCATATATTTAAAATAGAATTTTAAATTTAATTTAAAATAACATGTCATAGAATCAGTATTGAAAGGTTGTGAGCTAAAAATACCGAATTTAATTCTTGGACATTTCACAATTGCCTGCTTATTTATGTACCTAAGAATGATAGCCCCGGCTCTATTGCTTGTGCTGGAATCCCCACTCGGCCTTTATGAGTGCAGAGTGATCACCCTCCTTGAACCCTCACTTCCTTTATCTACAATGTTTTGTTAATAGTAGTACCTGTTTCAGTGGAGCCCCAGTGGGCGGTGCTTACAAACCAGCTCCACCCAAGAAAGACTAGGCTTTCTACTCCCGTAAACGGTCTCAGAAACCCAAAGGGGTTGATAATGAGTCAGCATTAACGCAAAGGTAGTGAGTACATGTTTCAAAGCATTGTGTAGACCAAATGAAGTAAACCATGCAAAATACATAGCAAGCAGAATGTTTAGCACACAACGACTCGTAATGTTGTTAAGGGCTATGTAATGTGTTATTTAGGAATTAAAGAATTTGTAAAAAGAGACAATAGTAACAGGAACATAGGATTTTGAGTTGTTGATCGAATTTTGGCAGTTAAAGTTTTTAAGGTTTGCTGTGTAACTCCAAACTAAAACTTCAAAAAGCATGAGGTATGATTGCGTATCAGAAAAAATCACTGGGGAAATATTTGTTGTTCAAGCAGTATCATTTTAACTTCAAATGGGTTTCTTCACTTTATAATCAAGAGAAATTTCAAATTAAGTATATTGTTATAGGGTAACAATTATGTTGGGTTCTTTCCTGAATTAATTAGAAATGTCTATATTAAATTGAATATTAATATCTTTACTTTTAGAACAAAATTAGCATCTAGATTTTAAACTGTAAGTGAACTTGTCTTGGACTACCCCCTCCTTTTTCATGTTTAGTTATTGGTGACAAAGAGAATTCTAATTTCAGGGGGTTTGGGGGTGAAAATATTTATGGATTCAATTCTTTTAATGCACTGAATTTAGGAATAGAGTGGGGTTTTTAGCAGATTCAGCAGCTGGTTGGTATTAATTTTACATGTGATCTGTTGCAAAATTTCAACTGGTTTCAGTTTTTCATGAACTTGTGAATTAATCTGTTTTAGATTGTGTGAACCATGTATATAATAATGCTATGTTCTAGTTTGTAGCACTTTGCCTAATGTCACTAACTGCGTGGGAGAATTAAATTTATTCAATGTTTTCTTAATCAAATGTGACTATTTTATCTGGAAATATTTGACATTTGATGGTTTCCCTAGTTGCTACACTTATTATCCTTATGTTTGCATAAGAGATATGTTGTGTCTAATATCTGTTTTCTGAATTATGAGGGAAATTACTTCATAACAATTACATTTTTTATTTATCAAAGGATAGCACTTTTCATCATAGCTGAGAATACTTTTTTCTTTCTGATTTTCAGGTTTTGGCTGATGAAATTCATGCAGACTTTTATGTAGCAGTTCCAGAAATAATGCCGGAGCTTAATCCACTGAAGAAGAAACTAAAAAAAAAATTTCCAAAGCATACCCAAAGTAAGAACATTTTTTAATTTTAATTTCAGCATATTATCAACAATTTTCTGCTTAACTTTCTTCAGTTAGCAAACAAAATTGAATACATGGGATATTCAAAAAGTTTGTGGAAAAATCGAGTTAAAAGATGGGATTTTCCGTGAAATTTTTGAAACCCTCTCATATTATGTAGAATAGGCTGCTGTTTAAATTCGGTGTTATATGAGAACACGTGTGCTAGATTGATTTTTTCTTTTTCCATTGGTATTGGTCATCTAATATAATTTGGAAACCTACATACTTTTAGCACTGTTCTTAAAATTTAGTCTGTTTTCTAGTGTCAAGTTAATGGATTGTTTTAAGCACTAAGTATTGAAATCTGACTGTTTTCCTGACACATGTACTACTTTGTCAGTTACAGTCCATGTGCTCATTTATTTAAGCACTCCTGTGAGGGTGTGATATACATGCTTATTAGTGAGTGCCAACATTTCCCCTTAAGCACATTTCCTCTTCAGGAGCTTGCCCCTTACAGACGTCTTCCTCTTAGGAAATCTAGTAAGAGAGGTAAAATTGACCATAGTATAAAGTATGTGATATCTATGAAAATTCACGCATGGTGGTGTTCGGTAGAGGAGGGTTTACTTGTAGCTGGGAAAACCAGAGAAAGTATGCAGGAGGAGACATTTAAATTGCACCTTGAATAATTAGATGACTGCATTAAGAGGAGTATTATTTTAAGTAGAAGTAATGTATCAATCATAGACACGGCGGTAAGTGAGAAATTAGACAGCAATAAAAATGAGCAATTGTCTTTGATATGAATGATAACCCTTGAACTGGAGGAGAATTGTACGTGGGCAGGTAGATTGATGCCCTAACTGAGGGCCTCTTGAGGGATGCGCTCATGAGCACAGACTTCCGCAGGAACCTCATAGACTTTCGGAGGTGGGGCGTGGCATGATTGGTACAGTGCACAAAGATGCAGCTGCTCACCAAATGGACGAAAAATGTTAAAGTCTTTTTCTGCAAAGACTGCCAGCCTTGGAAACCATTTGAGAGCAGTTCTCCTCTGTCTTTTGGGGTCTCTGAGTTGGAATTGATAGGACATAACAGGCTTTTACTTTTAATCGGGCAAGAAATTGTAAGGTGCGTTGGTGAGCAGGGAGACCATTTAGTGTGCAATTGCAAGAGACTAATAAAGGTGATAAATGGTCACACCGAGATTGTCCTAAGAGAAGAGGATAAATGTTCAAGATTTTAGGACTTTGCAACCAGGTAGCTCCAAATGGACAGGTTGACGGAAAGAGAGGAGTCAAGTGATGCTAAGATTTTTCAAGCCTAGGGCCATCTTTAACATGATAATGCCTTTCATAGAAAGAAGGACTTTGTTTTATGTACAAATAAGTACCACTTTAGGTAAAATTTTGTAATATAAAGAGAGAACATGTGCTTTCAAATTGATCAAGTAAATTTGTTTTGAAATTTCAACTGCAGTTGAGATAGTGAAAACCTGTTTGTAAGATCTTCATACATGATAATCCTGTGCACTTAACCTGAATTACAGATCACGCTCTGTAGTTTATGCAAATTCAGATCAGTTTTCCAAATACTTTGTTGTGTTGGCTCTATGTTTCTTTTTAATAGCCTCCATTAAATCAAAGATTCCTATTAAAGGTTGGACAAAGGTTTTGCACTTTTTATTAGAAATTTCCATCACAGTGTTGTTGTAAGTGGGTTTAGACTTGCATTTTTTCCCAAGTAAGATGTTAAATGAAACACTTTTAAAAAGCTTATAAGAAATTCATTTCAGTTTGTTGGGAGTATTTCACATAATTTCTAATGAAATGTTTCTAATGCAAGTCAAACTTATTATATCAGAACAAAATCAAGCTGTTTTTAAATATACCCAAACTATCCATGTTTAGCTTCTTGCTTTGCACAGTAAACTGACTCTTCACAGAAATTACTCTGTCACTTTTGTTACTTTCCCCATTCTCTGTATGACCCCATTTAACATCTAGTTTCTTTAGTCATGAATTTAAAAACTTATTTTCATCACAAAATTCAAACTATTATTTCCACTCTAAAAATTATCCAATAGCTTATCCTTAGTCCGAATAACTAAAGGTTCCTTTTAAAATGTTTATTTTTATCGATAGGCTATGTTTTATATATCTGCTTTTCCCCATTTGCTTAACCAAGGTACTTTGGAAAACAGAAAAACCTTTCTCCTCTTTGAATATTTTCTTTCACCCCCACCTGATCTGCTTACTAGCACTGGCAAAGCACTTGTGTTCTTTTAAACATGAAGACAAATGATTAACCTGCCAAAAACGTTAACGCAGTACACCAGCTGTGCATTAGAACACATGATGCCCGTATTATGCATTTCCAGAGCTTATTCAGATGCTTGTTTGGGAACATTTGATTCCCCTTATATCCAACATAAGACTTCAGGGTAAAATAGAAATTATATTTTGAGCAAGTAGATGAAATAAAAAAAACAAACAAACAAGCCCTTGCAGCTGCTCATTAGCTTCCCAGTTTGTCTCCCTTTTACTAATGTCAGTGGGTGTAACCATCTTGGCTGGGTTGAAGCTGCGTATTTTGCAGCATGGTTAATGCTGTGGTTTTATTTGTTTTCTTTTAATTGCTTGCATAACTGTAGGCAAGCTCTTTTATTTTTCAAATGCACATTTGGCTTATTTCTTCCATACTTTTCTTTGTTTCATAAAATAAAAAATGTTTGAATCTTGATTTCTAAAAGAATTTGAAAGAACATTTTCCTCATTCTGCTCTTCAGCCTGCCTCTTTTCCTTTAATAAAAATACCTTATGAAATGCTTTCATTTCTAATATAGTTTTGTTGAAAATTCTATTCTTAATCCTGTTCATATTTACTAAACAAAAGTACTGGCATGGAAGCTGAATGGGGTCAGTTTTCTGTTCTGCTTCATGGAAGGAAGTGTGGCATACATGGAAACTGTGATTCCTGCTAAATTGCCAGCTGGTAGGAGAGAAAAGGACATGGTGAAAAACTGGGACACACCACTGTATGTTCTTCCTAACATGGAGCATGGAACACTGGTGTGAGTTGGAGTCTTGTCCAAAGGATATTCCAGCAAACTCGTGGAAAGGATATTTACATTACCTTGTTGTTGTCATCGTTGTTAGGTGCCGTTAAGTCAGTTCCGACTCGTGACAACCCTGTGCACTGTCCTGCACCGTCCTCAGAGCCTGTGGTTGTAGGCACCTTGTCATTGTCAGTCCATCCTGTTGAGAGCCTTCCTCTGTCTCTGCCCCTCGACTGCACCAAGCATGAGGTCTTCTTCAGGACTGGTCTCCTGATACTATGTCCAAAGGGCGTAAGATGAAGTTTTACTGCTGCCTATGAGCGTTCTGGCTGCACAGCTTCCACCTCAGCTTTGTTAATCGTTGTAGCTGTCCATGGTACTTTCAGTATTCTCTGGCACCGAGGCTTCGAAACTGGAGACTATGGGATGTTTGTTAAAATTGTAAATTTAGTGTAAGCTATTTTTACCTCACAGGATAAAATGTTATACTTCAGAATAAGATAATGTTGAAACAACTACCACTCTTCAGTTATGTAAGGAAAAAGGCTAATCAGGGAACAGTTTGACAGAGTAATACATTTAAAATTTTTCTAATTTCCTCCTAATTTTCCAAGTATTGCTGTAATAGGCCTTCCACAACCATTTATTTAGTATAAAATACGACGTTCCCCCCCCAACCCCCAATCATTAAATTCTTCTTATTTGTGCTTTGATAATTTTTTTAGGACTAGACCCACCTTTGGCATAGTGCATTTTAACTTGTGAGTGTGCGTCTGTTTCCTCTTATCAGAAAAAGAGGATCTCCACTTCTCTGTTGCCATGGCCTAGCGTATGAGGATTATTTTCCATGAATTTTTGAAGCCCCTTTGTGTAGTACCTGGCACATAGTATAAATTCAACAAATAATTTGTGTAATGAATAAATATTTATTCAGCCATTAGTTGTCAGAAGATAGATAATCTAGACAGCTTAATTGAAAAATCCATGATTTTTTTTTTTTGCCATAGTTTACTCAATCCAATATACCCATTCACATACAATTCTGTTGTTCGATCCCAAACTATTAAAGGGGAATACGTAAATAAATGAAGGAAGGAAGGAAGGTAGGTTCCTGTGGGGTAGGGTGGAGGATGGTGGGGATAAAAGGGAGCTGATATCAAGGAGTTCAAGAAGAAAGAAAACGTTTTGAAACAGATTGTGGTAGCAATTTTACAATACTGCTTAATGTGATTGAACTATGGAATGTTATGATAATCTGTAAACTAAAATATAAAATATCTGTAAACTAAATGTAAAATAAAAAAAAATTTAATGCATGATCTACAATTTACAGATTTTTATTCAGTTAGAATCCTTGTATTTATAGCTACTGACGATCTACTGTATGCCAAGACTTGAATATAATAACCACGGGCAAGATATTGACTGTGGAACTAACCGTTTTGTTTTCCACAATAGATAATCTGGTTTACCTATGCTTAGATTTCTTTAGCATACAAATCATCAAAAACAAACCACATCTTAACAGCCTTTATTGGATTCAGTTGTCTTTTCTAAGCTACCCTTTTAGTTCTTTCTGTGGTGTCATGCCAAGGTTTTGAAGTAAGTAGTTTTTAGTGATCGGCTGCCTCCATTTATTTACTAGCCTTTGTTTTTCTTTGCTGTTTTGCATAATTCAGCTAAAACTTACTGTTGATAATAGTCACTAATATATATTTGCTTTTAGTCTTCCATTTCTGAAACTCTTTTTACCATACAATCATAATTCATCTCCTTTTTTTGTGTGGTCATTCCCCGCTTCTTTTATTTGGTTTTATATTTTCCCTATTATTTTTCTTGATGAAAGAAGAGTTGGAATACCAGAGTGAAATACATGACCACATGGTTTAGTCCATGTTATATTTATTATGGAAACCAGGTATGAGGTTGGAGGGAGGAAAAGGAGAGAAAGAATAAATGAGGGGGGAAAATGCAAGAACCTCAAAACAGAGAGAAACGAGGTAGTAGAGAAGCAGGAGAGCAATTACACAGCAGTGAGGGATCGCAAAGTCCTAGGTTCGGCTGTGAAGATTTAGTAGTGTACTTCATTGTGCTCCTGCAGAACCTGTACATGGGCCAAGAAGCAGTTAGCTGTGCAGACATAACAGAGAGCTACTGTGTGGTTTAAAATCAGTCAAGGTGTGCGTAAGGGTTGTATCCTTTTACTAAACTTATTCAATCTATATGCTGAGCAAATCATCAGGGGAACTGGGTTCTGTGCAGAAGAGCGAACATCAGGATGGAGGGAAGGCTTGTTAACAACCTGAGATAATGCAGCTGAAAAGGCAAGGACCAGACACACTTGCTGATAAAATCACGACTGCAGCTTTCAGTGTGGATTACAACTCAAAGTAAAGAAGCACAAAACCCTCACAACTGAACCAATAGGAAGCATCATTATAAATCGAGAAAAGATTGAAGTTGTCCAAGATTTTCTCTTGTTTGAATCCACAATCAGTTTGGTGCTCATGGGAAGCGCAGTTGTCAAGAGATGAAACTGCACATTGTATTAGGTAAATCTGCTGGACAAGAACTTTTTAAAGTGTTGAAAAGCAAGGATGTCACTTTGAGGACTAAGGGATGCCTGACTCAAGCCGTGGAATTTTCATTCACCTCATATGCATGTGAAAGTTGGACATTAACAAGAAGAATCAATTAATTTTAACCATGGTGTTAAGTGATGACTATTGGAAGTACCGCGGACTACCAAAAGGACAAACAAATCTGGCTTGGAAGAAATGCAGGCAGAAAGCTCCCTAGCGGCTAGGAGAGACAGTCTGACGTGCTTTGGACATGTTTTCAGGAGAGCACCGTCCCCGGAGGAAGACATCCCACTTAGTCAAGTGGAGGGGCAGTGAAAAAGAGGAAGGCGCTCAACCAGATGGATTGACACAGTAGCTGCTGCAGTTGTCTCAAAAGAAGAACAATTGTGAGGATGGCGCCGGACCAGGCTGGGCAGTGTTAGTTCTGTTATACATAGGTGGCTAAGTTCAAACCTACCCCATGGTACGTAACATCAACAACAACAACATACTGAAAGGCAGAATAGTTAAGATAGATATCTTTTTTGCCTTGACGTTACTGTTCATGGCGGCCTTGAGCAAACAGCCTCAGTGACTTTGCAGTCAGTCTCTTGGCTGCCCACTCGCCGCGCAGAGGAAAGATGTGGCGAGTTACTCCCACTTAGGAGTATTGCCTTGGGAACCCCTTGGTTTCCTTTGGGGTCACTGTGAGTCAGAATTGATTCTATGGCCATGAGTTTGGGTTTGGGACTTTGAGCAAAATTTTATCCTTTTTGCGCTTCAGTTTAATCATCTATACAATGTACCTCATGATGATATTTACCTGAGAGTGTTCTTGTAAATAGAACTTAACACACATTGAGTATATAATAAATACTGTATATACTCATGTATAAGCTGAGGTTTTCAGCACATTCTTAATGCAGTTTTTGTGTAAAATTAGGTGCCGCAGCTGATATTCAGGCTGGCTTATACTGGATTATAGAGGTACATAATAGATGTGGACTGCAATTGTTAATTGTTCTACAGTAGCTATATTTTCCAACTACTGTTCCTCCTTGTTTGGTTCCAACTTTTACATTCCGAGGAGCCCTGGGGCATTGTGGGTATGTGCTTAGGCTGCTAACTGCAAGGTCAGCCATTCAAAACCACCAGCTGCTCCTTGGAAGAAAGATGAGGCTTTTTACTCTCGTTAAGCGTTACAGCCCCCAAAACCCACAGGAGCAGTCCTCCCCGGTCCCAATGGTGTCTGTGAGTCAGAATTTACTTGGTGGTGGTGAGGTTTGAGTGCTTTGCTCTTGATTGCCAGTAATTACAAATGCATCTCGATCGCATGTTTGACCTATTTCAGACTGAAAACGTTGATAGAATTCTTCAATTTCCACATCATTGTCTCTCGTATTTGGTACATACATTTGTCTAACACCTGCATTGCCTGGATTTCTCATATGGGAATAGGCATTAGTCTCTCAAAGACACAGTTGTACTTCACTAGGGGAGAGTCTCCTCCAAATGCATTCCTTCAAAATGTATTGCTGTTTAAGTGACTCGCACTTTTCGTGTTCACTTGAAAGGGAATGGCATGAGGACATGGAAGCCAGAGAATGAGGGTGAGAGGCCAGTCTAGAGCGCGTAACCGAGCTACTCAGCCCTTGCACATGGGATAAACTTTCATTGAATTAAGATACATTTTTCTACTGGTTTGAGATGTGGTGACGAATTTGAATTAAAAAAATTTTTTTTCTTGACCAGAATCTGTTAGCCGTGATATCCCCCAAATGCTTGAATTATTTAAAACTGGACATGAAATTGAAGTTGATGAAGAAAGAGAAAATTTTCTTCAGACCAAAATAGCAACAGTAAGTTACAGGGGAAAGTATCAAGTATGCCTCTTTATTTATGCTATTGTAATATGCTATTTCTTTATGTTCGTTCTTAGCACCTCTGTTATCAAGAGTGGCACAAAATACGAGGGGGTACACCAAAAAAATGGACTTTTTTTCTCAAAGCTATAAATTAAATTTTTTACACGACAACCGTATCACCTTCAAAGTACTCTCCATTACACTTAATACACTTGTCAAATCTGCTATTCCATTCTCGGAAACATTTTTCAAACTCATCTGTTTGGATGGCGCACAGCACCTCCCTCATTTTTTTCTTCACCTCTTCTAAGTCATCAAATCACTGTCCTTTCATGCCCCTCTTCATTCGTGGAAGCAAAAAGAAGTCACATGGAATGAAGTCAGGTGAGTAAATTGTATGGGGCAAGAGAGGCATGCTGTTTTTCGCTAAAAATTGGCGCACTGAGCTGGCTGCATGAGCAGGTGCATTGTCGTGGTGGCAGAACCAGTCCCCCGTCTGCCACAAATCAGGTCTTTTTTGTTGTACACTGTTACACAATTTTTTTCCAGAACTTCTAAATAGAAAGCTTGATTAATAGTCTGACCTGGTGGAATAAATTCCAAATGCACTACGAGTTGACATTTTCATCTGTTTGGGAAGTTGAGGGATGTCCAGAACAAAGTTTGTTGCAGTGGACATTTCACCATTTTTGAGACCAGAAAAACATTGTACACTTGAGGTTTTCCCATAGTGCTGTCCTTGTAAGCTATGTTCAACATCAAAACAGTTTCTGCGGCATTTTCCCAAGCAGAAAACAAAATTTCACAGCGGCACACTGTTCTTTTAAATTGGTCATCACAAAAATTGAAGTTCGAGTGAGACTGATTTTCACAAAAAAACTTACTGTGACCAGAGAGAACCTTGCCGGGCAATGCCACTGGGTACACTAACTCAGAATGAGTTGCTCGATGTTTGCATACCTGAGAAAAATGCTTACTATGAAAACTCCGCTCCACCCTGTGCAATTCCGGTTTATTTTTTGAGTACCCCCTCGTATACACATGCATATATGTTCTACAGCTGGAACTCAGACCTTAGAATGGCACTTGAGAATTCCTTCCTTCCTAAGTTGTGTGTCATTCTTTGACATTTGATTGTATTGCGCTATGAATGGCTTATTTGATTTTCCATTCTATGTATATATTTTTGTGTCTAGTATTTTAAGCTTGTTGATTCTTAGGGACTAATTTGGTTTATCTGCTAGAGAAGGTAGCATAATGTTGACCACGTTCTAGGTATTGAATGCTCCTTTGGCTATTTTTTTATCACCTCGGCATTTAATGATTCACATCTGTCATTAAACCCCTCCTTCCCTTCACTGGTTCCCCCCTACAGTGCCCACCCCCCATCCCCAGCCTTGATTTTTCATCTCTGTCCTACAGACCTCTTGCTGTCCACCCTTTTACGCAAGTCAATGCCTGTCAACCTTCTGATGGCTTGTTTCAACCTGCTACTTTGCGCCCCC